GACATATATTTGTGTATCATATATTTTCCTCAGTCTTCGCGCATTTCGTATAACGTTTGCGCAAACCTCATCTTACACTAAGCCATACAAGCATACATACTTACACATATGTTGCAACGAACACCAAAGAACAACAAGTTTCAGTCTCGAAACCACTGCAAATTTTTACAAAAAGTTCAATCAAAGAAGACGAGTAAAACGCATTCAATTTACAAACTTTTACTCAAGCAATGCATTATTATTAAAAAAGAAAACTACTTTTGTTCAATACACTGATTCTTATGCAAAACTGTTTCTTTGTTACCTTTTTATCTTCAAATGTTTGCCTACTCTGCAATTCGCCTTAAACAAAAATTCAAAACGTAAAACAAAAAAACAAAATAAAATCAAACAATTTTTCACACAAATGCAAAATTGAACTCAATAACGATTGGCTTTGAATACGCAACTTGTACACAAATAATTTTCCGAAATTGAAAAACCGATAATAATAACTAGGAGTTGGCCACAAAACTCTCGAGAAGTTTCGATATGAAGGAGGAGGGAGGCACACTGCTGGGCGACAAAGGTGTACGCAGGCATCAGGTGAGTGCGCGCAAGCCAAAATGGTGGTAAGAAAGTTAAGTGTTGAATAAATTTTCTATGCTCATTTCGAATACTCATTTGTTGAATTTCTAGCAAAATAAAAAAATATAAAACATGCAAAGCTACTCGCTCGAAAACAAAGCAATTTAGCGCTTGCCATTTCAATTACAAAACATAAATTTTTTAAACAAATTGACGCTAGAGTATATTAAAAAAAAAATAAAAAAAAGAGTATATTAAAAAAAATAAAATGCAAAGCCATAGCAACATCTGCGAAATACATACAAGCGCTCAACACACTCACAACTCAGAGCACAAATGAAAACAAGCCTAACTCAATAATACTTTATATACATACGATTCTCAATAAGTTTCTCCACAACACGTTTCATTTGTTCACACTCATGCTCAGCCAAAACTCATTTGCAGTCTACAATTCTCGTGCGCTCTCGCTCTCAACGCCCTCGCTCTCTTTTCTACACAATTCACTAAGTTTGCATCCCTATATTTTCAACTGAAATTCCAAAAATTTCACTGCAACCTAAATTTATATATTTATATATTTTTTAATTTAATTTTTTATTTATTTATTAATTTTTTTTTATACGTCGGCCTTGCAGTACACCCAATTGTTATGACTTATTTACTCTAACGAAACGTAATATAAATACTTATGCTCCTTGTTTACTGATTTTGCTGCCTGCTAACTAACTAACTTAGCCAAATTCTCACCTATATTAGTTAACTAGTAACTCAGTTTTACTAACTAGTTCCATTATTTTGTCAATATACTTATTTTTACTTATTTACATACAAAAAATACCACACCCAAAACGCCTACAAAATAATTAACTATAAGCTGACAAATACTTGTAATGTACTTTTTCTATTTGTTGCATAACCATGAGTTAGGAATTAGCAGGCGAAGTGAAAATGAAAGTTAGTAAGCGATCTCAAACACACCCAACAAAAGAGAACAATATTCACTGAACTTTTTTCTCAATAGAGAACTGCTTGTGAGATACTCACATGGTGTTTTTGCTCACAAATTAATGCTAATTAATGAGCGTCTATTCGTACAGAGCGCATGTTTTCGTATAGTGAGCGTAAAAGTCAGATTGTGGCCAATCAAAAGGCAGATCTACTCTTTGCTTGAAATTACTTCAATTTCTGAAAATATTAGAGTTTAGAAGCCTTTGGAGACTGTTTTCACACGAGCACACTTTTGTCGCTCAAACTGATTTGTTTTAGGTGAGGGTACTATGAGGAAAGACTAAGGGACGAGGGTAATTCATACTCTGTGCTGCTGATAGGTGCTACTGTGGGATCGATAAGAAATTGAGAAGCAGCTCAAGTTCTCGACGAACAAAAATTACGCCTTTAGTAGTCTCATTATTTTCGTTCTATTACGCGGCGCCAAAACTTGGACAATGGAGAATCGAACTGAAAAAAGACTTGGAACATTCGAGAGGATTGTACTACGCAATAGCCTTGCAGACGTCCGCGTGAGCGAGAAATATCGAAAAGTCTGTTTGAGCTCTGCGCCGAGTTAAATTTAGTTAAGCATATCCAACAATGCCCTGGCTAGAGGGATAGAAAGCATCGAAGACAACTCAAAGCACTTTCTCGATCCTTAAGGGTCTTGTGTTCATTTATAGAGATCAATTATATAAGATAAAACAAGGCCAGCATTCTAAGTTGTACAAGGGAGATCCTCTTCTTAAGATTGACAATTTAACCTGACCTAACCTAACGTATTTAACTTAGCAATTCCATAAAAGCAGCTTGAGCAGCCGCTCAAGGACACTTTTTTCAAGAAAATATAGATCGACTTGGCTTATATTTCAGCTGACTATAACATTTTTGTGCCACTTTACCAGCATTACATGCGCTGCTTAGCTGTTTTTGAGTTCAATCAACGGATCGCCAAGCAAATACAAACCTTTCATGTATAAAGTGCCAACCTAACCTTCAATATACCTGAAAATGTACAATTTGTAAATATAGTTTAACTTTTCAATGTGGAAATACTTTGTCTGTCTTCCTCGTGGTTTAGATATACTTTATATATATATATATATAAAAGTCTAAAATATAATATATTATATTAAACTAAATTTGTGTTTGATTTTTCTACTAACTTTTACAGTCCATGCAACGCCTTTCGGCCGAGCAAAATGGTTCAACGACTGAACAAACACATGAACACAATCCAAACGTCGTACCTGATCATAGAGGCAACTTACACATTACTGTTAAGAAAACTAAACCAATTTTAGGTATTGCTATCGAAGGTGGTGCTAACACAAAACATCCGCTTCCAAGGATAATCAATATCCATGTGAGTAAACATTGTATCTCTAAACTCTAAAAACTTACCGTTATTTTTATTGCTGTTCGTTGCTTAGGAAAACGGTGCAGCATACGAAGCGGGCGGCCTCGAAGTCGGGCAACTCATATTGGAGGTGGACGGCAATAAAGTCGAGGGTCTACATCACCAGGTAAGTTCAAGCTGCAAATATAATCAATTTCATAATATAAAGTCATGGTTTCTTCAGGAGGTTGCCCGCCTGATAGCCGAATGCTTTTCGAATCGCGAAAAGGCCGACATAACCTTCTTAGTTGTCGAAGCGAAAAAGTCGAATCTGGAACCAAAACCAACGGCGCTTATATTTTTAGAAGCCTAACATTTGCTTGCCCTGCCGGCTAATGAGGACCCACTGGAACGACAAAAGCTCGAGTTCTTATTCGAATGGGGTATCGATTTAACGACAACGCCAAAACCAATGCCAACACCAATACCATTAACAAAAGCTAAAAATCCACCGCCACTGCCACTCAACATTAAATCCATCAACCATCCATCACATCAGCCAGCAACGGCGACACACCCACACACAACGCTGGCGCCGCATCATCATCAGCAGCCAACGACACAGAAACATGTTGCCAACGCAACAACAACACCAACAACAACGCGAACGTATACACCACAAACTACACAAACGAGCACGGGGATGCCAACGCAGACGACGAGCGCGAAATACACGAGGAGTCCAACACAACAACAGCAGCAGCAACAACAACACTACCAACAACATACAACACCAACTACCGCCACAACAACACCGACAAAAAGTACACAACAACAACAGCAGCAACATCAAAGACTGACACCAGGCGAGCGCACGCGCGCCGCTGCCACTACAAAAACAACAGCAACACCAACAGCATCAGCGCCAACGTCACGTGAGCACACACCCACGCGCAGCGCACAATCACATTCACAACAACAACAACAACAACAACAACATCAGCAACACAATCAGTCATCCTTACAGCGTCAGCCATCGGTGAATCAACAAAAATCACAACAACAACAACACGAACAGAGGCGCGACCTCGAGCGGAAAGACTCACAGCGCGAACGCGATCGCGCGAAAGAGCGCGAACATGAGCGCCAGCGTGCACACGCTGATGCGCGCGAGCACGAACGCGCTCGTGGCCGTGAGTTGGAGCATGAGCGTGAACGGCAGCGTGATTATGCGCACGAACGTGCACGTGATTACCAACATGATCGTGAGTATGCGCGCGATCGTGAATATACCGCACGTGAGCGTGAGTATGAGCGTGAGTTGTCACGTGACGCGCGTGAGCATGAATATGAGCGCGAGCTGCCACGTGATGTGCGTCACAGCGAGTATGAGCGTGAGCGTGATTACGCGCGGGAACGTGAGTATGAGCGAGAGCGCGACTCCGAACGTGAACACGCCCCACCACCGTCATCAGCACGCACAACACAACCATATCAACAACAACAAGCCCATCATCACCAACAACAAACACATTACAATAAAACGAATTATAATTCCGTTTACCAGTAAAAAAAGAACAAAAGAAAAAACCAACAAAGAAACAACAAACGAATTTGAGAAATTTTTGCTAACGAAATTAACCACCAACAACAAAGAAACGTATGCTTGTAAAATTAATTACTTAACGCAGTAACGACAACAATAACAGCAATAGCAACATGGTACAAACAACATGAACAACAAAATTGAAACAACAACTCTACACAACAACAACAATAGTAACCATGCATGGAACAACAATAAAGTCTATAATTTTGAATTGTACAAACTGTGTAATTTCCACGCGTTAAAGAAACACTTAGCAAATTCCCGTACGTAATAATCCAATTCTAGCAACAACAAACTCTCTGCATAGCGCCGCCGTTCGTTTCACTACTAAATACCCCCGCCTACGCGCCCCATCTTAGTATCCAGCGCTCTCATAGTATCGCTTAGAATTTGTCCCCTCTCTCTCTCTCTCCCCCGCATCATAGAAAAAAAATATTTAAAAAATATATAAAAATTTGTTTTGTGTGCTTAAACGGTTATAATTTTTAGCTTTTGTACACCGACTCGCTAAATTGTATTATTTGCAATTTTCAAGACACTCACACCCACACACACACACACGAGATACTCAGAGACAAGTTGTACAGACATTTAATGGCTTATTTTCACTTCCGCCTCGTCTATGTTTTTAGCTGTTTGTGCTTAGTGTTTTATCGTCAGCTTTAAATGCTTCAACAGCTTAAAATCACGTTCACAGCAGCAGCAAGTATGAGGAGGCGTCCACGCGTCATGACAGTGCTGCCGAGATTATGCTGGGTTAAATCTTGGCTAAAAAAAAAGCTAGGCCTTTACAAAACACCAAAAAATGGTCTTCAACACGATTGAAGAAAAATATTTTGTGCTGTACACTTTAAGCTGAATACCAATATGGCCCATAAACTGTGAGTGAATTTTACAATTATCGTTTTACCAGTATGACGCATAAACTCGAGGAAATTGGCTAACTAAAGCTTTCACCAAAATCTCATACAGCATTGGCAACGCCTGGGACAACTATATGAGCAAATTCGTGAGAACTCTTGCTTTACGCCTACGCTGCTGAACACTTTGCTTTATTGCATATTAAAACTTCCAAATTTATTCGTATCAATAAAACACTGCCACAACAACAAACACTGTAAACACTTTTACACGAAAGAGTATCTCGAAAGCAAGACAACCAAACCAGAAAACCGAGCAAAGATAACAATAAACTCAAATCCAAACAACTAATGATGGTAAAACCCCAACACTTTTTATAAAAAAGGAAAAAAACTAAAAAAAAATTAACAAAACAAAAAAAATCAAAAATATTATAAAAACTATAAAAAATATTTCTTTTTTCATTTAAAAAGAAATTTAAAAAAATATCAAAAAATATTTTTAAAAATCTATGCAAACGCATATTTAAAAATATTTTAAAAGTATAAAAAAAAATTAAAAACAAAAAAAAAACACACTGAAATACCAAAACAACCCATAGCAAGTAGCAAACCAATACAAAAACCACACTTCAGTTCAAACCAACCCACAAAACTGTGACACCTATACTAATACAACACACAGCCTGTTAATTAAACTAATTTAATTTAAAATATATGTATATGTATGTTTTAAGTAGTAATATATAAAGGCACGCATAAACATAGTTGCAACACTAGTCTCTACTATCTCTATAAATGTATCTAGTCTATATTAAATTAACTCTTACTTATGTATTTATGTAAAACTGCATTGTATTGTATTGTATTGTGTAATTAATTATATTTGTACGTATGTCATGTATATATCAGTTAACTGTAGTTTGTATGTTGAATTGTAATTTTATGTGCCACAAATTGCACACTAAACGAAAAAATCCTGTACTTTTTGTGACACACAACACACAACATACTTAAGTATGTATATGTATGTGTAAAAATATCTTTTTTACTTACTACTTTCTATTAAATCTTAAGCAGCATACTTTTGCGCGCCTCGAACAGTGATTAAACGCGAGCACACTATGTATAGCATATCCACAGGCGCCAGGTAAATGATGTGCTCAGTTTATTTGTGTGTACGCAACTAGTTTGTGAAACTACAAACTTTTATAGTTACAAACAGTTACACCAACAATAAAAACACACAACGACAAAACACTTTACACACACATACATACATACATATACGTTGTAAACACAAGCAGCTTTATATGTATAGTACATATGCATGTGTTTAGCATGCTTTGCGCTATTTTTGTGTGCTTGTATGTAACTAAAAAAAATTGCAGCAACAATGTTGTAGGTAAATGGTTGAAGAAACGCATATTGATAAATGCTGCAACCAAATTGCAACACCAAACACAAAATATGCAACAGAAAAAAATATTTATAGAAAGAAGCCCACCTAAAGCCAATAATTAAGTGCAACACTAAGATGGCAGTACCAGGAGAAAACAATGTCGATAATTTGTATGTACATACATAGCAACCAAAAGCAAACACACCCACACAACCTAACCTCAAAATTAAGTGAATAATTAATAAACGTAGTAGCAGACATACATATGCACACACACACATTCCCACACGCATAAGTAAAAGGAGAAGCAGCAGCATAAGAAAAACTACAAAAACAAAATATTAATTGAATATTCCTTAGAAAGCACCAACAACTTGTACCCCCGATTAGTATGTGAGGCAAATAATAGCACATAGTCTACAAAATAGTTAATAATAAACGTAAACAATTAGCAATGAGCGAGCGAACGAACGAACGATAGGCAAAATTTAGCAAAAGCAGAATTTCTTGTGAATAACCGTACATCGTAGTCAATGGTGTTACAATTAGAAACCGCTATTAGAACATAACGTAAATACCTTAAATTAAAGTCACATACAAATTTTAGTACAACTACGCACTGCACTT